TAGGCATTAATTTTTGTTAATTGATACTATGTCCAGGGTCTTGCAAAAATTCACTTATTCTAGTTGCTTGTAGAATCTTCAGATTTTTTATGAACATAATCATGTCACCTGCAAATAAAAAGTTTTCTTTTTTTCCCATTGTGTGTGTGTATGTGTATATGTGTGTGTGTGTATGTGTATATATATATATATATATTTTTTTTTTTTTTTTCCTCCCTTACCACAAAAGCTAGAGCCTCCAGTACAATTTGAAGAGAAATAGTGGTGGTAGACATATCCTTGTCTTGTTTTCAATCTTAGGGGGAGATGTCCGAAGTTTTACTAGTGACTATAATATTAGCACAGTTTTTTTGAAGTCTTCAGCAGACATTTCTCTTCTTTTTTTTTTTTAAAGATTTTATTTTATTTATTTGACAGAGAGAGACACAGCGAGAGAGGGAACACAAGCAGGGGGAGTAGGAGAGGGAGAAGCAGGCTTCCCGCAGAGCAGGGAGCCCGATGTGGGACTCGATCCCAGGACCCTGAGATCATGACCTGAGCCAAAGGCAGACGCTTAACAACTAACTGAGCCACCCAGGTGTCCCTAGCACAGTTATTTTGAAGGTATCTTTTATCAGATTAAGAAAGTTTCCTTTTGGGGTGCCTGAGTGGCTCAGTCAGTTAAGCATCTGACTCTTGATCTCTTCTCAGGTCTTGATCTCAAGGTTGTGAGTTCAAGCGCTGTGTTGGGCTCCATGATGGGCATGGAGCCTACTTAAAAAAAAAAAAAAAAGTTTCCTTCTATTCCTGGTTTTCTTAAGTGTTTTTATTATGAATGGGTATTGAATTTTTTCAAATGCTTTTTCTGTATTTATTGTAATGATTGTATAGTTTTTCTACTTTATTTTGCTAATGTGGTGAGTTACATTGATTTTTCAAATAGCAAACCAACCTTGTGTTCCTGGAATCAATCCCACTTGGTTATGATGCATTATATTTTTTATTTGTCTCCAGATTTTGTTAATATTTCATTTATGATTTTTGTGTCTATATTTGAGATATTATTGGACTATAATTTTATTTTCCTACAATGTGATTGTCAGATTTTGTTATCAAGGTTATGCTGGCTTTAATATGAGTTGGGAAGTATTCTTTTTTTATTTTCTGGATGATTTTGTGTAACACTGTTATTATTTCTTCCATAAATATTTGGTAGAATTTACCAGCAAAACCATCTGGGCCTGGAGTTCTCTTTGTAGGAAGGATTTTTTTTTTTTTTTTTTTGTAGGAAGGTTTTTAATTACAGCTCAGTTTCTTTAATAGATAATACTGTTTCTGTTTCTTCCTTTGGCAGTTTTGATGAATAGTCTTTTTCAAGAAATTTGTCCATTTCATTTAAAATTTTGATTTTATTGATATAAAATGTTCCTAATAGCCTCTTATTATCTTTTAATTTCTGTTGGATTTGTAATGATGTCTCCTTATAATTCTTTGTTTTTGTAGTTTGTATTTTGACTTGTTTTTTTTCCTTGTTCAGTCTTGGTAGGGGTTTACTAATTTCATTAATTTTTTTTCAAAGAACCAACTTTTGGCTTTGCTCATTTCCTCTTATATGCTTATTTTCTATTTCATTAATATCTGTTATTATTTCCTTCCTTCTTTTGTTGTAATTTGCTGTTCATTACCTAATGTTTTAAGTTGGAAGCTAAGAGTGTTGATTTTCAATTTTTCTATTAAGCTGTAAATTGTTTTCTAGACTGTTTAGCAAACCTCCAAGTTGTCATTCAACTCAGAATATTTTCTAATTTGCATTGTTTTTGATCTCAAGGGTTATTTGGAAGTGTGGTGCTTAACACAGTAAAGTGCATCTCTTAAAGTTTGGAGATTGTCTAGTTATTTTTTTGCTATTGACTGTCATGTGAATTCACAGTGGTCAGAGTAGATACACTGAATTATTTCATTCCTTGTAAATTTGTTGAGATTTACTTTATGGCCCAGAATGTGGTCTATGCTGGTAAAAGTGCCATGTATACTTGAAAAGAATGTGTAGTCTGCATTTGTCAGATGTAATATTTTTTGTTAATTACATCAATTCGATTAATTGGGTTGGTTCAGTTATTCTGTATTCTTACTGATTTTTATCTGTTTTGTTAGTTAGAAAGGTGTGTTTGGATTTATACACACTATTATTTAAACCAAACAGTATTGTGAATGGGCTGTTTCTCCTTTTAGTTCTGTCAGTTTTTGCTTTATACATTTTGAAGCTATGCTATTAAGTGAATATAATTTACGATTTTTATGGCTTTGAATTAAATTGACCATTTTGTCAAAATGAGATGTCCCTCTTTATGTCTCATAATACTTTTTGCCTTAATGTTGTCTGTTATTAATGTTGCCATATCATGTTCCTTTTCATTAGTATTTTCATGGTACATCTCTTCCCATCTTTATTTTTAACCTTCCTGGGTCTTTATATTTAAAGTGTTTTCTTTCAAACAGTATATGATTGTATCTTTTGTATCTTATTTTTTAATCCATTCTGACCATCTTTGTCTTTCAAAGTATGTATCTATTACATTTAATGTGATTACAGTTTGCCATGTTGCTTTTTGTTTTCTTTCTCCATTTGTTCCTTTTTAAAAAAAATTATTTCTTTATTCCTGCCCATTCTTTTCAATATTAAGAGTATTTTTATTATTTCCTTTGTTAGTTTTTACATTATACCACTTAGTGTCACTCTTTTAAGTCCTTACTGAAAAAATGACAAAATACATCCTAATGATAGTGTACCATAAATTAGTACTTTTATTATGTCCTGAACAATGCAAGAACTTTACAGTATTTTTATATTATTTAATCTCCCTTTTTTTTGCAGTGTTTTTGTATGTATTTCACTTCCATGTATGTTATAAATCTCAACAAGACATTGTTAGTGTTGAAAACAGTCAGTAGTTTTGTTTTTACCCACATATTTACTGTTTCTGGAGCTATTGATTCTTGCTGACATTTTTGTGCTTCCTTCTAGAATTGTTTCCCTTAAGCTGAAGAACATTTCTTGTAGTATTTCTTGTCTGCCAGTGAGGAATTCTCTTAGCTTTTCTTAGTTTGAGAATGTATTTTGCTCTCACTTTAGAATACTATTTTCTTTTTTTTAAGATTTTTATTTATTCATGAGAGACAGAGAGGCAGAGGCAGAGGGAGAAGCAGGCTCCCTGTAGAGCAAGGAGCCTGATGTGGGACTCGATCCCAGGACCCTGTGATCATGACCTGAGCCGAAGGCAGACGCTTAACCAACTGAGCCACCCAGGTGCCCTAGAACACTATTTTCAAGGGAAATAGAACTCTTGGTAGTTTTGCTTTTTAAAGTTGTCCTGATGTCATTCTATTATCTTCTTGCTTTCATTGTTTTTGTTGAGTAGTCAGTAATGTTTTTATTGTTTCTTAGAGCAGTGGTGCTCAGCTGGGAGTGATTTTACCTTCCCTTTACCCCTGCCCCAGGGGACATTTGGTAATGTTTGGGTATGTTTTGGTTGTCTCAACCCAGGGTGGGGTGTATGCTACTGACATTCCTACAGTGCACAATTCACAGCAAAAAAGTCTCTGATTCAAAGTGTCAGTAGTGCCGAGGTTGAGAAACCATGCCTTAGAGGTCTCATGTCTTATTTTTTTTCTGGTTGTGTACAAGATTTTCTCTCTGTTATTTTTTAGCAGTTTGGTTAGTATATGCCTAGGTTTTACTTTCTTTGTTTATCTTTTTTGGGATGGATTTTAATTCCCCCTAACAGTACACTATCTTTTTATTCATTTGTGGTTTTTTTTCATCTTTTTTCTTTAATATTCATTGTAGTTATCTTGAAATCCTTCTAATGCCATTGTTTGGATCACCTCTGGATCTACTTCCATTGACTATTTGATCTTTTGATTAGTGGCTAATTTCTTCTTTGCATGTCTCGTCATTTTAAAATGTGTTTTGATGAAATGTTATGGAGGCTGTGAATTATCTTCCTTTGAAAGATGTTGGATTCTGTTCTGATGGGTGGCTAAATTACCAACTTTTCACTTTTTTTTTAAAAGTAGGCTCCATGCCTGGTGTGGAGCCCAATGCGAGGCTTTAACTCACTATGCTGAGATCAAGATCTGAGCTGAAATCGAGAGTCAGACGGTTAACTGATTGAGCCATCCAGGTGTCCCACCAGCTCTTCACTTTTATTCTGTTAGGACCTTATTTAGTGTTTTGTTGGGTTTGGTCTATTAATGTTTTATATTTCCAGAGTATGGTCCTTTTTCCTAAGGTGTGGCCTTTGTGGGATTTCAACTGAATGTCTGGGATTTTTTCCAAGATCTTTCCAATTTGGCTGGGCTCAAACTCCAACAGCTTTTCAACTTTTCTCAGCTTCTCAGCATGTGCTTCCTACGAGGTTCTCTTGTTCTCTCTCTCTCTCTCTCAGGCTTTTGAAGCCCTGGAGATGATCAGGAATGAATGAGAATTTCTGTGCAGATTTTTGGGGTTCTCTTTCTTTGGGGGTAATCCTAGCCATCTTTGCCCAGAACTCTGATCTCTCTTCCCTCTGGTCTCTATTTGGACTTCATTTCAATACCTAATTCTGAGAAGATGCTTCCAGGGGAAGTTCTTGGGGGAATGTTGGATCACCTCATGTTTCTCTTTTCTTTCAGTGACTGGAGCCTTGTATTGACTATAGTCCATGCTATAAACATTTGTTTTGTATGTTTTGTTCGATTTTAAAGTTACGTATGGCTGGAGAGTAAGTCTCATACCAGGTATTCTTCATGGCCAGATTCTGAAGTATCTCCATTTTCCTTTATAAAAGATTAACTGCTTTTTAAGTCAGATTTATTGCTTTGAAGAAATACTGGTTTGGCTGTCATTATGGAGTAAGTTCTGTATTTCACAGAAGCAAGTGTTAATTGGGTAAACAGCTTATGTCAGTTAACTTAATAAGTAAAGCTTATTGTATATAACTTGACATCTTCATTATCCATTGTGTTTTTTGTGCTTCAAGGAATCATCTTTTGCAGTTTGCCTTAGAGTCACCACCCATATCTCCTGCTTCTTCCTCTTCAAAGAACCTTGCTTCCAAAGTACACACTCCTGTAGCCTTCAGACATTCTTTAAAGCAAGGAAGCAGGTTAATGGAGAATTTCTTGATCAGAGAAACTGGTGGTTCCTCATCAGAGTTGTTGATAAAAGAGAATGAGAGTAAATGCACCCCTCAGAAAGAGGTGAGCACTTCTTCAAAGACCAAAGAGACACCTATAGAAAAGGCAGCTCCGTGTTCCTTAGATGCTCATGTTCCTGAGACACCCTCTACATCAACTTTGAAACAGGTTACCAAAGGTAGGAAATTATTTTCATATATGTATTTTCTTACTTAATGGAAATCTTTTCATCCCATATGACCTGAGAATAAATAAGCATCTTGAGGGGGATGGAATGGGAAAGGACAAACCAGATTTCACATTATAACAGTCTCAGAAATTGATGTAGGCAATGCTGCAAGATATTTTTATACTCTTTCTCTCTCACAGAATAGGAATTCAGGCTGATTGCTGGAAAAATGGAACAATTTTAATTAGCTCATATTTTAACTATGGCAGTAGCTTTTTATTTTTCAGCTTTTAATTTCCCTCCTCATCTTTCATATCAGTTCCAGTTTCATCTTAACGAGCTCCTTTTATCTTCTTATACCCCTTTTTGAACACTTCCAAGCTGTTCTGACTGGCATTTATAGCCATAGACAATTTGACCCCTCCTCTAGATGTCTGACCCCCATCTCAAAAATCCTGCGCTAGCCAAACTGATCTTCCCATTATTCCTTGAATACACCCAGAGATTGGAAAAACTACAAGCTGCAGGCCAAGTTTGGCTTGACACTTATTTTTATAAGTAAAGGTTCACTGGAAAATAGCCACACCCATTTGTTGACATATAGTTTATGAATGCTTTCATGCTCCATGGCAGTGATTAGTAGTTGTAACACAGACCATCTAGCCTGCAGAGCCTAAAATCTCTACTAACTGGCCCTTAACTAAAAAGGTTTGCTGGGGTGCCTGGGTGGTTCAGTCGGTTAAGTGTCCAAGTCTTGATTTTGGCTCAGGTCATGATATCAGGGTTGTGAGATTGAGTCCTGCGTTGGGCTCTGTACTCAGCAGGGAGCCTGCTTGAGATCCCCACCCAACCATGCTCATTCACCTGCACGCTCTTGCTCTCTTAAAAAAAAAAAAAAAGTTTTGCTGACCCCTGTTTTATCTTTCTAAACTCTATCCAGATCCTAACCATTCTTTGGTTATGTTAGACAATATTGACATCTCACATCACGAAAGTGTTATGGCACTTGTTTTCTGGACTATTTTATGTATAGTTTGCTTTTTTGATGACTCGATCAGCTTGTTTAACCTATTGTTAACATGTTTCCTCTTACCCGTGAAGTTCAGAGCACCTTTTAGGCAGAAGCTATGTCTTAGACATCTTTGCTACGCCCACATCATACATAGTGCAGGGCAGTTAGTGGTTATTCATTTTAGTTTTTTTAAAAATTTTTATTTATTTATCTGCGGGAGAGGGAGAGAGAGAGCATGCACAAGAGGGTATGAACGGTTGGGAGGGGCAGAGGGAGAGGGAGAAGCAGACTCCCTGCTGAGCACGGAGCCTGATGACACAAGCTCGATTCCAGGACCCTGAGATCATGACCTGAGCCGAAGGCAGATGCTCAGCCAACTGAGCCACACAGGCACCGTGCAATTAGTGGTTATTAAACTAAGATTGAAGTTAGTGTATTAATACTCAAAGGTTTAAATTTTGTAAGGAGGGGCTTGGGGTCCTGGGATTGAGCCCTGCATCAGGCTCCTTGCTCAGCAAGGGAATCTGCTTCTCCCTCTGCCCCTGCTCATGTGCTCGCTCTCTTGCTGTCTCTCCCCCTCTCTCAAAAAAATAAATTTTTTTTTAAAGATTTTATTTATTTTTTGATAGAGACACAGCGAGAGCAGGAACACAAGCAGAGGGAGTGGGAGAGGGAGAAGCAGGCTTCCCGCTGAGCAGGGAACCTGATGCGGGGCTCGATCCCAGCAGCCTGGGATCATGACCTGAGCTAAAGGCAGACGCTCAACGACTGAGCCACCCAGGCGCCCCCCAAAAATAAAATTTTTAAGGATATGTGGATCTTGCATTTCCTACCCTATCTTTTGTCAGTCTGTCTATCAATTGACAGTTCTTGTTGTAGTGTTTTTAGCTTGATAGTTAATTTTTTCCCCCTAATAGACCAGTCTTTTTCAAATGAAATCTTACCATGAACTGTAACACATAAAATAGTTAAAATTGGCCTTGCTCCATTGAAGTAGAGGTGGAGGGCCTGACCTCCTGCTTCATCCCAGCCTTTATCATGGTGGCTCTGGGCCCCAAGATTCTTCCACAGTTCTCTGCAACTTCGTCAAACAGTTTGAGAATGATTGTGTTTCCTAATGGCAACACTACTTTTGTAATTACAAATGAGAGCTAAATTATCGAATTTGTAACTATTGCTGATTTGAACAGTAGTTGGCCCAAACCAACAAATGCTTCAGTTTAGCTTTGCATACTCTCTCATCCCCAGCCAGGTGTATCTTATTCATGTTGTTATGATTGCTACAGTGCTACATATGAATGACTCCTAGACGGGAAAATTTAAGATTAGTTCTATAGGCTGGTCACACCTCCGAAGAAAAGACTTAACCAAAGCATTTTCTAATAAATGAATCTCCAGACTTTTTTTGCAATCTCTTCCTGTAGGCCGCAGATTCTAATTATGTGACTTACCACAATTTAGCCATTACTCAGTGAACAGTCTCTCCCAATCCTGTTGCCCTGAGGTGTCATTCTTTTTCTCTTCTGCTTTTCTAAGTGCATGTTAATGTTGGGATTTTTTTTTTTTTTATTACTTGCTAAAAGATGACAGGTCATACATTATTTTTGCCCTTTCTGTAAATAATAAAGTTTCTCTCTTTTTCAAAAATACAGTGGATTGTCCTGTTTGCGGGGTTAATATTCCAGAAAATCACATTAATAAGCACTTAGACAGCTGTTTAACACGGGAGGAGAAGAAGGAAAGCCTCAGAAGGTAAGAAAATTAAAGCATAACCATTGAGCTACTTTAACAAGGTACTTCTTGTACTTTATAAACTATTTGCTACCTCTTCCATTCTGTCTCCTTCATCCTGAGGGTTATTTCCCATAAACCATGAGAATCTGGTGACCTGCATTTCTCCTTAGAAATGTTTCTTCCTGGGGTGCCTGGCTGGCTCAGTCAGTAGAGCATGTGACTCTCAATCTCAGGGTCCTGAGTTCAGGCTCCACATTGGGCATGGAGCCCACTTAAAAAAAAAGAAATGTTTCTTCCTGAGGAATGAGTTTCAAGTGTAGAGGCTGAGCATGTTCTCCTTGAATAGTAAGAAGTCAACACTGATACTCTTGCTTGGACTGTTCTTTTTCTAGATGCATCTGTCATATTTCTTCTAATACATTTAGTTCTGTCAGTTTATCCAAAGACATACTCATCCATACATAATTAAGTTCAAGTTCCAATAGTGGTTCCAAACCCTGCTCCTTGGAATACTGTAGTCCTGCCATTTGCTCTGTCTTGCAGTTTAGAAGCACTGCATATCATATCTCTCTTAGGAAAAGATTCACTATACCAATTAGTGTATTGAAGGATCTGAGAAGTCCTACATCAAAGGTAGTTGTTGGATTTTATGTAATCCAGTAATTTCTACATTATTTGACCCCAAAATCTTTTTTTTTCCCCCAAGATTTCATTTATTAGAGAGAGCATGAGCAGGGAGAGGGGCAGAGGGAGCAGACTCCCCGCTGAGCAGGGAGCCCGTTGCGGGGCTCCATCCCAGGACCCTGAGATCATGACCTGAGCCAAAGGTAGACGCTTAACCAACTGAGGCACTCAGGCACCCCTTGACCCCAAAACCTTTTTGTCATCATAATTTACATCTTACAAAACTAATTTGTAAAGATATGCTTAGGGGAACATTGAGCTGCATTACTCTTAAGTTACATCCTGGTCCTGGGGTCTGTCTGGTCACATAAAAGATACTGTGACATTTAGAACATTTTATCTACAACACCCTGACAGGCCATTTCCTTGATAGGGGTGATAACCCTTAACCCATTCTATGTTATCAGAGTTGATTCAAAGAATATTTTTCCTTTTGATGTCTTCAGATTCTGAGGACCCTTAAATGCATTACTCACTTTCACTAAATCATGGAAGAAGGATCAGTGTTATCTTCATGTTTTGGGAATCATCTATCAGTCTTCATATTTTAAAATTCTGGATAGAAATTGTTGATTTCAGCTGGTGATTTTCATCGTAAATGCCAGTGAACAGTACAGTTTCCCGTTCAAATTTCATAGTCATCAGTTTAATTGTCTATACTTGATAAAATAAATTTTTTTTTATTTATACAGGCTTAATGAACTATCCCTCACAGTGTGCTTGTATAAACTCCTACAGAATGTTTCGGCTCTTGCTACCCACTGTGATTTTATTTAGCTGTAATCTTACCTGTCTTGTAAAGCCCACTGGGTAGTTTTCAGAAAAATGTAATCTCTTGAGGGTTTGTATGTCCTTCTATAGTTAAATAGTTATTGCTGGCTTTTAGATGTTATTGATAAAGCATAAAAGAAATAATTTAGTCAGGGACTGGTACTGTTGGTTAATAGAAAAATGTTTGGTTGTTTTCAGTCTACATATATTCAACTGGACTCCCTCAGTATAGTCTCTGGGCCATTTACATCAGATTTACCCTACGGAAGCTTGTTAACATAGATTTTAGGTCTCCACTTCAGAACGTAATCAGAACTGGGAGGTGGTATGGAGACGTGACCAAGAATCTGCAGTTTAATAAACTCTCTTGGTCATTCCAAGATTCACTACAGTTTGGGTAGCATGGCCTTGAAGGCAAACTAGTTATATACAAGTCCTTTGTAAAATCATGGGGTTTTTTTGGATAAACAGTTTACTTTCAAGTGCTTATTAATTTTTACTGGAAACTTTGGTATTTTAATTTTGAAATATTGGAATTGTAATGACTACTTTGAATGCATATTTATTAAGCACCTAATTGCCATGGTGTTGAGGCAAGTAATGTACTCAGAGAGCCAGGTTATAATCAGATTAAATAGATTAAAGCTCACTGAGGAGTTCCTGTTTATAAAATTGTCTCAAGTCATTGCTACCATTAGGTAGCTTGACTTCTGTTCCATTTTAAGAAGTAATGTTTATTAACTGGTTTTTTTGGAGGGAGCAGAAGAAAGTCATTTAATAGGGCTCTGCTATATTAAATTATAGCTTAGTGCTTGTCAGTGTATTAATTATATAAATAGAATGAAGAGCCAGGTGGTGGTTTTGCTAATACACTTGTAATCCTTATATATTTGTTAATATAATTAATTGAAGTTGAAGGGAATAAAACCCTCTTGTATTTCTTGCTATTGTTTTCAGTCGTGTTCTTTGAAGGTGATGCCATAAGAATAGTATCTGTCAACTTTCAGAATTCTTTTTTCATTGGCAGTAAATAATTGGGTAAAGCTAACCATCCCAACACATCTTTTATTTAATCTAGAGCTTTTGTACAATGTTTGCCTCTACTTTGAGGGGGCAGTTTTGCCTGTGGATCAGCACTTTTTCTAAAGCAGATATATTCTTAAATCTGTAGTCTAATCTCAGTAGTGTTTGTACTCTGATCATCTGAGGTAATGGTTTTTTGCAGATATTTTGCATGGAAACCATGGGCACATTTTAGGACAACATGCTTTAAAGCAGTGGAGAATTGAGGAGGTTGATGTAAGTGTGATTCTGAAGTGAGGTTCTTAACAGCATTTAGTGCACGTTTCCATGGGCATCCTGGGTCTGCATCTTTAGGCCTGACCTCTTACTGAGACCTATGTTTCTCTAAGATTGGCTGTCACCTAGACCCTGGTATCTGAATGTGCTGTGGGCACCTCAGATGCTTCATGTCCAACATTGTCAACCTTATTTGCAAATTTAATTCTTCTCTTTCCCATTTTTATCTTAATGGTTCCACTATTTTCCCAGTCACACTGGTACTCCATCAGAAGGCAAATTAACTGTTTTATATGAAGAGCATTTGATAATGCACAATAACTCTAAGTGATCTCTTTTTTCCCCCTTTTTAGTTCTGTTCACAAAAGGAAGCCTCTGCCCAAAACTGTATATAACTTGCTCTCAGATCGTGATTTAAAGAAAAAGCTAAAACAGCATGGATTATCTATTCAAGGAAATAAACAACAGCTCATTAAAAGGCACCAAGAATTTGTACACATGTACAATGCCCAGTGCGATGCTTTGCATCCTAAATCAGGTAAACTAATAAAGCAATGAGTTCTTGTTTTCTGGTTAAAGCAGTTTTGTGTAGCTCAGAGATTATAAGTCATAGAAAAAAATTTTAATAAATATAATTTTGATAATACATGAGAATTCCTTCAAAAGGTACCTAGACTGATGAATCACAGACCTGTACCTCTGAAACAAATAATACATTATATGTTAAAAAAAAAAAAAGATAGTAGGAAGGGAAAAATGAAGAGGGGGAGATCGGAGGGGGAGATGAACCATGAGAGACTATGGACTCTGAGAAACAAACTGAGGGTGTAGAGGGGAGGGAGGTGGGGAGATGGGTTAGCCTGGTGATGGGTATTTAAGAGGGCACGTACTGCATGGAGCACTGGGTGTTATGCACAAACCATGAATCATGGAACACTACATCAAAAACTAATGATGTAATGTATGGTAATTAACATAACATAATAAAATTTAAAAAACTTCAGGGAGTCAGCAAAAAAATAAATAAAAAAAAAGGTACCTAGAGTATACTCTGATAAGCCTTTCTCACAGCCGGTCTCTCAGTCACTAGTCCCTTCTCAGAGGTAACCACTGCTTCCAGTTTCTTTCGTATATCTTTCCAGAGATAGTGTGGGATGGAGAGTTGATCTAGAGAGCCAGGGTTGTAATCCCAGTTTGTAGCTTTATGACCGGAAGACTGCGGGCAAGTTACTTACTATCTCAGTTTTCTCATCCATAAAATTAGGGTTATAATACTGCATACTGCATAGTGTTTTGAAAGGAATAAATGAAAAGTGCACATCTTCTAAAAAAGATTTTTATTTATCTAAGAGAGAGAGAGAAAGAGAGAAAGAACGAATGAACAAGCGGGGGTGGGGTGGGGGAGAGGCAGAGGCAAAGGGAGAAGCACGCTCCCCACTGAGCAAGGACCCCTCAACTCGGGATTCAGTCCCGGGACCCTGAGATCATGACCTGAGCCAAAGGCAGATGCTTAACCAGCTGAGCCACCCAGGCGCCCCATGTTTAGCACATTTTTATATGCTTATTGACCATCTGGATATCCTCTTTGGTGAAATACCCTTTTAAGTGTTACGACCAATTTTTTTATGCTGTGTATCCTTTTTTTTTCTTATGTATTTGTGGGAGTGCATGAGATTTTCTGTATACAGATCTTGCTGGATGTATGTGTATCTAATCTCTTCTTTCATTCACCTTTTCACTCTCTTAAATGACTTCATTCAAGAATACAAGTTCTTAATTGTACTATTTAATCTTCTGCATTTTTCCTTTGGTTAGTGCTTTTTATGTCCTTGCCTACTACAAGATTAGGATTTTCTTTTCTTCTAAAAGCTTTATTGTTTTTGCTTTTACATTTCGACCTATAATTTATCTGGAATCTATTTTAGCATATGTTGTGAGTTAAGGGCAAGATTCTCCTGTTTTTCCATATGGATAGCCAATCAAAGCAGCACCTTTCCCTCCTGAATTGTCAGTACATCTTAACTGAGAATCAGGTAACTGTATGTGTGGGTCTTGGACGTTGTTTTGTTCCATTAAGTCACCTTTAGGCTTCTGTCAGTGCGTTGTCTAAACTACTTTATGAGTAATTTTTTAAAAAAATATTTTATTTATTTATTTGACAGAGACACAGCGAGAGAGGGAACACAAGCAGGGGGAGCGGGAGAGGGAGAAGCAGGCTTCCCGCTGAGCAGGGAGCCCAATGTGGGGCTTGATCCCAGGACCCTGGGATTATGACCTGAGCCGAAGGCAGATGCTTAACGACTGAGCCACCCAAGTGCCCCCTTTAGGAGTAATCTTCAATAGATCTTGCTGCCTGACAATGTGGTTCCTCTAGTTTTGTTTTTTGTGATTGCCTTGGCTTTTCTAGGCCCTTTGCATTTCCATGTAAATTTTAGAATAAGCCTGTAAAATTTCATCAAGAAACTAACTTGGATTTTGATTCAAGCTTGGATTTTGATTGAGACTATGTTGAATCTTTAGATCAATTTGGGGAAGTTGATAACTGTACACTATTTGAGTGTTTCAGTTCATGAATTTGGTTTATCCCTTTAGTTTTTCATTTCTGTCATAATGTTTTATAGTCTTCAGTATGAAGGGTTTTTTTAAAAAGACTTATTCATAGGTATTTGATGTTTTTGATGCAGTTGTAAGTGGTGTCATTTTAAATTGTCAATTTTTATTTTTTTGTCATTGGTATGTAAAAATATAACTAATTTTTATACATATCTTGTATCTAGCAACTTGTTATTTACTCACTTTTTATGTGTGCATTTTAAAATTGATGTATAATTATCCTTTTATTTTTTATTTTTATTTTTTAAAGATTTATTTGAGAGAGAGAGAGGAAGAGTGCAGTGGGGAGGGGCAGAGGGAGAGGGAGAGAGTCTGAAGCAAGACTCTACGCTGAGTGCAGAGCCCCACAAGGTGCTTGATTTCACAAGCCTGAAATCATGATCTGAGCTGAAACCAAGAGTTGGATGCTCAACCGACTATGCTACCCAGGTGCTCCTATAATTCATCCTCTGAGAGTGTACAGTTAGATGAGTTTTGACAAATATAGGCAGAGTCATTTAGCTATCATTTCAGTCAAAATATAGAACATTTTCTTCTCCAAAAGTTCCTCTGCCCTTTGGTAAGGCCCTGGGATATACTGATCTTTTATGTTTCTATAGTTTTGCCTTTTCTAAAATGCCAGACAAATGGAGTTATACATATTGTACATTATGTAGTCTTTTATATCTGGCTTCTTTCACTTAGTGCAGTGCTCTTGAAATTTATCCGTGTTGCTGTATTTATCAGTAGTTCACTCATTTTTATTGTCAAGCAGTGTTCCAATTTTTGGCTATTATGGATAAAGCTTCGATGAACATGGGCTTACAGATCTTTGTATAGCCATATGTTTTCATTTTTCTTGGATAAATACCCAAGAGTAGAATTACTGGGTTGTATGGTAAGTATATGCTTAAAAGTAAAGAAATTGCTGAACTGTTTTAAATGGCTACAGTAATTTTCATTGTATGAGAGATCCACTTGCTCAACTTCCTTGTAAACACTTAGTATTTTCAGTCTTCCTAATTTTAGCCATTCTGTTGGATATGTAGTGGTATCTCATGATGCACATATGCCTGTGTACTATATGTGTATGTACCCATGTAAATCCATTTACATTTGCATGCATTAGAAATCATGAGAACATACTGATACCTTTGCTTACAGTCCAACCCCACAGAGTTCTTTACCTTTCTCTATTACATATTTATATTTCCCTTTTTTTTTTTCTGCCATGGGGAGAATCCTCCCTTCAATAGCATTAGCACATTTACGATAGCACATCTAAAATAGTTTCAGAATTTCTTTATCAGTATTACTACACCACTGCAAAACAGACCTATCTATAAGAAAGAATTCAGGATATTTTTTAGTTCTCTCTCCCAGACTTCCCCTCCCCTCCTCCCTTTGTTGGACTGAGGGTATGTAGTCAAATACTGTGTTCATAATTTCCTTTTTATCTTTCTTCATTGTGACTTGGTTTTTACTGAAATACAGTGGAGTTCATTTGTTTCACTTTGTTTCTAATTGTTGTTATTTAGTTGTCCCTTCCAAGTATAAGACATTGATAACTTAAATGTAACATTTAAACTACTTTAAGAAGATATATTTTTATAATGGACCACTGGCTGTCATAAAAATATTACATACAATAGCAGTTTTGTTTTGAGAGTGCTCCTAATTACTCTTGAAGCATTTTTTAAAACATTTTTTTAATTTAAATTCAATTAACATATAATGTATAATTGGTTTCAGAGGTACAGGTCTGTGATTCATCAGTCTTATATAACACCCAGTGCTCAGTACATCACGTGCCCTCCTTAATGCCCATCACCCAGTTACCCCAGCCCCCTATCCACCTCCCCTCCAGCAACCCTCAGTTTTCTATGATTAAGAGTCTCTTACAGTTTGTCTTCCTCCCTAGTTTCCTCTTGTTTTATTTTTTCCTCTCTTCCCATATGATCCTCTGTTTTGTTTCTTAAATTCCACATACCAGTATACTCTTGAAGCATTTTTATAATGGTAGCTTTAAAATTCTTATCAGATAGTTCCAAGATTTGAGTCATCCCAGTGTTTGCATCTGTTGATTGCCTTTTCTCATTGAAGTTATGATTTTCCTCCTTCTTGCTTGACAAGTCTTTTTTATTGTGTCTTAGACATTTTGACTGTAATATGAGATTCTAGCTCCTTTTTTAATATTCTACTTTAGCAGGCAGTCACTCTGTTTAGGTTTAGCTTGCAGATCCAGGCCTGCTTCTGTGGACTGTGATTCTAATGACAATTTAGTTTTCAGAGCTCTTGCGGTGTTGTTCAGGGCTGCTTCATTTAATTGCTATCTGGGGGGCACTCAGAAAACCTGGTATTCCATACTGTGCTTCAGTTCTCAGACCTTTTGGCCTATTAATTTAATTTTATTTTTTGCAAAGATTTTATTTATTTATTTGTCAGGGAGAGAGAGAGAGCATGCACAAGCAGGGGGAGTGGCAGGCAGAGGGAGAAGCAGGCTTCCCGCTGAGCAGGGAGCCCGATGTGGGACTCGATCCCAGGACCCTGGGATCATGCCCTGAGCCGAAGGCAAATTCTTAACTGACTGAACCACCCAGGCGCCCCTGGCCTATTAATTTTAGAATATTTCACATGTGAGTGGGTCAGGAGTGTGTTTAGGATTTGCTGTGCAGGTTTAAAGGATGCTTTTCTTCAGGTTTTTTCTCTTTGAGATCCTCACTCCAATCACTAGTTAGGGGGTGAGGGTGCTACCTGCTACTGGTGGGTGAGGGATAGAGGTCTAGGTTACTCACTAGGTCTCTACTGGCACAGTGTTGCTGGAAGAGAAAAACTGTCCCCAGTCTTCCTGTTACTGCTGGGGGGAAAAGGGGAGTGGAGTCCACACCCTACACTTATTCTCTGATGATACTTTAGTGGGCAGGATTTAGTTGGAGTAGGTCAGGTATTGTCAAAAAGTTTTTTGGTCTCTTCCTTTCATAGTCCTTTGCTAGAAAGAAAATGCTTTCTTGGAGATTTGTGTGTGTGCGTGTGTGTATGTGCGTGTGTATGTGTGTGTGTGTGACGCTTGGTGGTTCTGGGTTGCAGGTTTCACCAGTGCCCAGTCTGGGATATATAGAAGATAAAGAGAAGGCCTAGGGAACTCACCATCATGTTGTTCCTTAAATTCTGAGACCCTTAGCCAGTCCATCTTCTTCCTTCTATCTTTCAGAGTTCTCTTATAATTGTCTGTTATTATATTACATCTAAGGGTTTTAGTTATACTTAACGAAGAATATGAGAAATGAGTCAAGTCCATCTTCTTCAGAACTAGAAGTTCTTGGGGGTGCCTGGGTGGCTCAGTTGTTAAGCGTCTGCCTTTGGCTCAGATTGTGACCACAGAGTCCTGGGATTGAGCCCTGCATCGGGCTCCTTGCTCTGCGGGATGCCTGCTTTTCCCTCTATCACTCTTCCTGCCTGTGTTCCCTCTCTCGCTGTGTCTCTCTCTGTCAAATAAATAAATAAAATCTTCAAAAAAAAAAAAGAACTAGAAGTTCTTGTTCATTTTTAATTTCTGTTCTAGGTGCAAACACATATAGGAATGTTATGTTTTCTTAGTGAATTAACCCCTTTATCATTATATAATTTCCCTCTTTTTTTTTAAGATTTTATTTATTTATTTATCAGAGAGAGAGAGAGAGAGAGAGAGAGCACAAGAGGGGGAGCAGCAGGCAGAGGGAGAAGCACTGGGATCATGACCTGAGCCAAAGGCAGATGCTTAATTGACTGAGCCACTCAGGCGTCCCTATAATTTCCCTCTTCATCCCTGACAACATTCATTGTTCTAAAGTCTGTTGTGCCTGATATTAATACAGCTATTCTGCCTTTCTTCTCATTAGTATTTACATGATACATCTTTCTCCATATCTTTATTTTGAACCTGTCTATATCTTTTATTTAAAGTAAGTACTTTGGGGTTGCTGGGGTGGTGGCTCAGTCAGTTTAGCATCTGACTTCGGCCCAGGTCATGGTCTCAGGGTCCTCAGATCCAGCCCCAACTTAGCACAGAGTCTGCTTGTCCCTCTGCCCCTCTCCCTGCTCATGCTCCCTTTCTCTTTCTCTCAAATAAATAAATAAAATCTTAAAAAAAAAAATGGGTTCTTTGCTGAAAGCATATAGTTTGTTCTTGATTTTTTTTACTCTAATCTGCATTTTCTATCCTTATTGTTGCTTTTAGATCATTTACATTTAATGTAATTATCGATAACTGTTGACTTTACAGTTAAAATCTTGCTAAGTGTTTTCTGCTTCTGTCTGCTTTTTGTTCCATTTATTTATTTATTTATTCTCTTTTGGATTGAGTATTTTTTACTAATATATTTTATTTCTATTTTGGGCTTATTTTCTCTTTTTCAGAAAGTTTTAGTGGTTGACCTAGGGTTTGTAATAACCACCTTTAAGTAGTCACAGTCTACCTTCAAATGATATACTTCATTTGTAGTATAAGAACCTTACAGCACTATACTTCCAATCCCTAATTCTTTGTGTTGTTGTCATGAGTTTTACATTTTTACCTATGCTGTTAACACAGTATCTTGTTTTCCTTTAAACAGACAGTTATCTTTTAGAGTAGTTAAAATAAGAAAAATATATTTTGTATTTACCTTCATTTTTACCATTTCTAGCACTCTTTATTTTATAGGAAGAGATAAAGAAGAGATAAGTTTCTCATTTCATATTTCTTCTGCCTAAGCAACTTCCTTTAACGCTTTTATGGTATTGGTCTGCTAATAATACATTCTCTGTTTTTGTTTGTCTCAGAAAATGTTTATTCATCCTTCACTTTTGAAAAATATTTCCATTGTTAAAGAGTTCTGGATTGGCAGGGTTTTCCCCTATACTTTTAATTCATCACTCCATTGTCTTCTGGCTTGAATGGTTTCTGATGAGAAGCATGATATAATGCTTGATTTTTCTTTATGTAATATACTCTTTTTCTCTGGCTCACACAGATTTTCTCTGTGTGTCAGTGTGTATATATGTTATTGTATTTTTGTTTTGTTTTTGCATTTATTCTGCATATATTTGTGGTTTGATGTCTTTAATTAAATTTGGCAAATTCTGGCCATTGGGTCCTCAAATATTTTTTCTTTTCCCTTTTTTCTTCCTCTTTTGGGATTTCTGTTACATGTATGTTAGGCTTTTTGATATTGCTCCATAGCTCTTAGTGCTCTGTATCTAAAAGTGTAAATATATATTTAGTACATTGGAGTTTGAGTGGCTATCTTGCTAAGAATTGGATTCACACTAACAAGTTATTTTCATATTCCATTGGGACTGCTATTTATACCTACATTCTTAAAGAGCAAAATTACTGTACTCTTATAGTTGTGTCTTAAACTGTTCTGCATGTGTAAGAATTCAGTGTTTTATTCCATGTTATTTTTGTAATCTGTTATTTTGAAATAACTTTGGACTTAGAGAAAAATTTTAAGAGTAGGACAGGGCGTTCACATATACCCATCTTCCAGCTTTAGAGTTAACACCTTACATAACCATAGTACAATGATGAAAACCATATAATTAACATTGGCTCTATGTCCTTATTTTAACAGCTGCCGAAATAGTTCAAGAAATTGAAAATATGGAGAAGACTAGGATGCGTCTTGAAGCTAGTAAACTCAATGAAGGCGTATGTTGATGGTCTATTTCATTATCTGTGTAGAAATGATGGAAAGAAAAATCGAGTGCCCTGATAAAATTAAAACATGCCAGAATTAAATCTGTTCAATAGGAAATGTCCTAGAACATATTTCCATTTAATGTATTATGATTTACTTGCAGTTCATTTTTAGCACAGAATTCTGTCACATTTAGCAGTCTTCTAGGACAAAATACAGTTATAGTCCTATAGTAAAAGCATATGCCTGTACATCAGATGGCCTTGATATTAGTTCTTTCTCTGCTGGTTGCGTTTGATAAGCTCTTTAATATCTGTGGCCCTTGGGGTCTTTGTCTGTAAAACTCAGGGTTGAACTATACGATCTCTAAGATCCCCCTTTAGCTCTGGCATTCTGCAATTCTGTGATTATACTAATGGAGAAATTAAGTAATTGTAAAACTTTATGAGGATTGAGTATCTACTGAGCTCATTGAGGGAATCAGAGACTTAAAATTCTTCACTATTGCCTTCCTCTAGCTTGATGGTCCAAAACTTGAGGAAAGGATACCAAAGAAGAAAATAGTCATTGTGTCCTATGACACTGGAGGAAGTGTTTTGGGCTCTCCCAAGTAGACTTTTTTTCCTAGACCATCGGTAATGTGTCTGTAAGGAAAGCTACGACCTTAGGGAAGTAAGTTTATAATCAGATAGTAGAAAAAAAAATGAGGTTTTCATTGACTTTATCATTACCTGTGTGCTAACTATAAGATGGAGGCTATAATGAATCATGTAAGTAGATTTCTGATCTTTTAAGTCTTAAGATTTTCAAAAGTGGAAGTAGAATTTAACGCGCTAAAGTCTTAAAATATCGTATTTTCTTTCTACGTTAACTTTCCAGTAGACTTGGAGAAGTTAGGTTGGAAAAGGGAGAAGACAAACAAGAAAATCTGCCTTATTAATGATCTGCTAAATGCTTCTTCAGTCTTGTAGTTTCAAATATTACTTGTATTAATGAATGAGAAAAATTAAATATTGAAAATAGGAATTTAATTGTTGTGTTAATACTTCATCTTAGCATTAATCTGTATATTGGTGTTGCATTTTCTGCACATGAGAAAACAGTAGTAAAATGTATACTAATTATGCTATTCAAGGGAAGTTCAAAGGAGTTATTCTTCCTAGGTTTCTGTAAAACAGAGATAAGAGATTATTTTCCCCTATTTTAAACATCCACGTTTGAGATTTTAAAGTTTGTAATACTAATTTCTGTTTTTGTCATATTTTGAATTTTTAATTAAGTTTTTTTGGATTATTTTAGGTAATGGTTTTTACAAAGGACCAAACAGAAAAGGAAATAGATGAAATTCACAGTAAATATCGTAAGTTGTGTGGCATCTTCTTTATTTACAGAGAACTTGGGTTGCAGATTTTCATCTTAAGTAATTTTTTAAAATAAATTTTTATAGTAATATTTGATATAAACATTTCTTGTTAGTATTACTTAAGCAACTGAATTTTAGTTGAGTGTTTATTCAGTGACCTTTTCTGTAAGTCTATGTGCCTGCTTTTTGATTTCTAACATTCTACTTTGAGCTTATCACTAAGCATTTTGCAAAATATTAATTAGCTGTCTCAAAGCATCTCTCTGAAAATAAAATGGAATTAAAATGGAAACTTTCCTGACTTTCCATCTGTCCTCAGGCCACTCACTGGCAACACTTCTGTGAAGAATTTTAGCACTTCTGTGGCTTGCAAATTTGTGCCAAAAATATTTTTCATTTTATCAGTTATTACCAACTTCCAAATTACTTCCTTTTCCTTATTAGGCCTGTGTATGTATCTTTTCCAGGGCCAGCACTTCAATGTTTTGTCAATTCGGTAGCTATTATTGCTTGGTTGGTTGCATTTTTAGTTTAAATTTAAGTGCCTTACAAACAGGTAGTTAATAAATTTTTGTTGAATGAGTATTCCACACATGATATGTGTTAGTTATGCTAAGAGAATTTTGTTTTCTTCTTTTAGTTCTTAAGCTTTGAATGTGTAAGTTCAGCACTGACCTGCTTGGGGAGGGGGGAATGAAGTACACAGGCACTAGATACAGGTGTGATGGCCTGTGCCTTACACACAGGAAAAGAAGCCTCGAATATTCTGGGACCACAGACTGAACAACAAAAGTCACTGTTTTTCTGTTGTTAGAAAGATAAATGTAACGGGAGCGTCCTTAATCAAGTTTTGGGAAGTCAATGTCATTTTTCTTGAGGTAGGAGATCGAGACTATCAAATGATCATTGAATTGTCGAAAATAAGTCCTGTAAAAATAAGGAAACCAGAAAATTTGCTTGAAGAGAAAGTAATTTAAACCACTAAAAAGGATACCATACTGAGAAACAATGCCATACTGAGAAAAATGTGGATTAGATTTAGGCAAGAAAATATACAACTATCTACTGCTCCCCATTTACATATATAAAAAGAAGTCTAACTTCACTAGATAGGTCATATTAAATTAATGCATTTAGCCCTAAAATAAACCTCCATATCTAATTTAAAAAAAGTACATGAACAATTCTTAGAAGGATACAAATTACTAAATCATATTCAAGAAGAAGTAGATAGGCAAATTGAATTTGCAGTCCCTGAAGAAATGCCAGGTCCAAATGGGTTTACTGGTGAATTCCATGAAATATGTAAGGAAGGAAATAATATCAATTCGATACATATTCTGCTAGAAGATTGAAATGCAAGGAATACTTCCTACCTCATTTTATGAGACTGAAGTTTCCATGAAACTACAAATCAAAAACAATATAGTAAAAGTTCTGACTAGTAATCCTCATGAACACGGATGCAAAGATCCTTAACAATATTTTAATAAATTAAATCTGGCAATACGTATAAAGGATGATACATCATAACCAAGTGGGATGTATCCTAATAAGGCAAGATTGGTTTAATTTTAGAAAATTCATCATTGTAATTCACTGTATTAAGTGACTGAAAAAAAACCACTATATGATTCTCTAAGTAGGTGCAGAATAAGCATTTGACAAAATTGAACACCCATTAATAATAAAAACTCTTACTAAAATAGAATTTCTTCAATCTGATAAAGAATATCTGCAGAAAAACTATAGCTAACATCATAATTAATGATGAAATAGTAAATACTTTGGGAACAAGGTAGAGGTGTCCATTCTCGCCTCTTTTGTTCAACATTGTACTTACAGTGTGAAGAAGCAGGAATAAATAGTATACAGATTTGAACAGAAGGAATAAAACTATATTCACAGCCGAGATGATCATCTTTCACAAATAGTTTGAATCATAAAAGAAAAAGCTTAAAGAAAATGTGGTGAGATATATTTCAGTAGAATTAAATTTTACTCTTTAAAAGGCAAATATAAAAATGAAAAATCAAGCTACAGATTGTGAGAAAATATTGTAAAATTTATAGTTGACAAAGTACTAGTGTCTATATTATGTTCTATATAGGTACTATATTCTTTAGAACTCTTACAATTCAGTAAGGCAAATGTCATATTTTTTTTAATGAGGGCAAAAGATTTAAACATTCTTCAGCAAAATAGGTATTCAAAAACCAAATAACCACATGAAAATATATGGTTAATCTTATTAGTCTTTAGGAAAAAAGAATTTTAAATGAAATAATAATACAAAAAAATAAATAATACTATGTACTTTAATGGAAAAAAAGCAAGAAAGGATAATACCAAACTGCTGGTCAGGATGTAGAGCAAATGGCAATCTTATACATTGCTGGTGAGAATGCAAAGTGACACAGTCACTTAGGTAAACCGTTTAACAGTTTGTTTTAAAAGTCACATACCTACATATAGCCCAGTCATTCTACTCCTAGCTATTTATTCAAGAGAAACGAAAGCATATGTCCATACAGAGATTTTTTTGAAAGCAGGTTTATTGAGATATAATTTCCAAAAAATAAAATTCATCAGTTGTAATGAACAATTTGAAGGATATTATTGACACATGTTATAGCAGCTTATTCATATTATCCTAAACTGAAAACAACCTAAATATCCATAAACACATTATGATACATCCGTATACAATGGAACAGTACTTAACAATAAAAAAGAATTAACTTGAAGTGCTGCTGGTTCTGAGGGTGGAGCATTTTAAAGGTCATCTGCACCTTCTGACTGGGAAAAGATGGTTAACGTCTTGAAAGGAGTGCTAATAGAATGTGACCCTGCCATGAAGCAGTTCCTGCTGTACTTCGATGAATCAAATGCCTTAGGGAAGAAGTTCATTCAAGACATTGATGACACTCATGTCTTCGTTATTGCAGAGTTGGTTAACGTCCTCCAGGAGCGAGTAGGTGAATTAATGGACCAAAATGCTTTTTTTCTTATCCAGAAGTGAAGATACTCAATATTGACCACTTAGGAATTACAAGTAACAAATGTGAGATGGTCACCATTCAGTATCCTGTGTGACAGATGAGACTTAGCGGCTTAGGCACATATCATGGGAAACCTGTGGTGTCGTTTGTTCAGAAAAAAGTCCCTGAACTGATTTTCTTGTTTTTTCCCCCAGTACCTGTACCCTAGAATTTAAAAAAAGAAAGAAAAAAAAAAAACTTCAATGGTTGTCTGTAATTTGGTTTTTATTATCCTACATTAAAATATAAATGTAAATGGTTTGCTACCTTTTTAATACCAATTTAATACATTAAGAATATAATGGAATATGCCTTTATCAGTTAAAAAAAAACAAAACAAAAAACTCTCCATATAGGAAACAACATGGAGGGATGTCAGCAACATTGTGTCACAACACAAGCCCAACTAAAAAGGCAGCATCTTGAATGGTCCCATTTATATAAAGTTCTAGAAAAGGCAGCGATTAGTAACTGAAAGCAAATTGGTACTGCCAGCTGCTGTGGGTGGAGGAAAAGGGAATCATGGAGGGACTCTTTTACCTGACTTATTGGTAGTTACATGACTGCACATTTTTTAAAAAATGCATCAGATTGTTCGCTTAAAATTGACGAATTTTATTGTGTGTACATTATTTCTCAGGAAGTCTGATTTTAAAAACTTAGTGACGAGTGGCATTCTTTTCTATTTCCGCAAATTTCTTTGATGTCTTGCTTAATAGAGGACATCTTGATTCTCATATCAGCTTCTGCATTTAAACTGTTGCCATGTGTTTTTTTGGTTAAAGTATATGAAAAATATCCAGTCTGATGCAGGAAGGGGTTTCAGTAGATTTTTTAGGTAATCATGGATATTCTTGGCAAGTGTTATTTCAGAAAGGTTATTTACAGTAGAATTTGAAATCATATTAATGAAGTTTCTGTACTCTATTGCATAAAAATCCACTGGTCTATCTTGTTGCTTTGAATGCACCTTTTACCTGTGAATGATTTTGTAGCATCGTTTGTTGGTTATGGAAAATATTGATACAGTGAGTTGCAAATGTTTGCATATTTATATTGCATTTATATTATATAATATAAAAAATAGCATTCCTTAGTTTCACCACCAGTCTTATCAGAAAAGTTAAGTATTGGGAAGTTGTTAGATCATAATGGTGGATACCAGTTACCTAAAATTCTGATTTTCACTTGAAAGATATTCTTTTATATTTGGCAGCAAATACTGTTACTTGTTTTTCTTGAAATGACAACTTCCCTCATTCATTTTTGAGAAAATGTATTATCCAAGTCTGAATAATCATGGTTTGTCTACTGTTCTTTCAAATAAAAACAATGTTCATTTAAAAAGTGGCTAATTTAGCTCACAACTGAAATAATTACACAAGTGTTTTTTCAGGGTACTTTGGGTATGTAGCAGAAGTGCTATATCTATAGTTCTCATTTTACCTTGTGAAATAGAAGTTTCACAAAGCAATATTTACCCTTCTCATTTTTTTGAAAGGTTGTATTCAGATGTTTTCAAATGATGTTTGCATTCCCCCTCCCCAACCTTAAATGGCCCCAACATTAGAAAAATTATTTTGTATCATTTTTCTCTCAAAATTTCATTGACTTTGAAAAAAATGTAAGTCGTGGGATAATTATGTTCCAAAGCCAGTTGGTTATGCTGATCCAAACCATCCATACTGCATCCTACTCTGTTTCTCTCTCTCTCTCTCTTTTTTTAAGTAAGACTTTGTTTTTAAAGCAGGGAAATGTTACAGAAAGTTCCCATATGTTCCCCGCCCCAACACATGCATGACCTCTCCCATTATCAACACCCCCCACCAGAGGGTACATTTGTTATAGTTGGTGAACCTACATTGACACACCATAGTCACCCGAAGTCCATACTTTACTTTAGGGTTCATTTTTGGTGTTGGACAGAGATACAATGACATGCATCACTGCGGTATC